ACCCCAGGGGAAAAAAAAAAAAAAAAAAAAAAATGAGACTTGTTTTTTTTTCTTTAATAATCTTCTATTTATGTTAAAAAGTTTCATGTACTACATTAATAATCAGAACTGGTTTTGAAAGGAGTCAGCTTCTCAGCATTCAAAACCCTTCCCAAACCACACGTTCTTCCTCCACAGGACCTTTCAGTGGTCACCCATTGTGACTACAAGGAAAAAATGCGCTGCTCCGTGACTGATCTTAAAACTGCTCTTTATGTAAATGTTAGTCTTTACGCTATTTAAAAGAAAAACAAAACAATTTGAAGTCTGAATTCTTACTCACACGCTATATGTATGTGTGCAAACTTTCCAAATCTAGCTTGTAAGCAAAAAATCCCTGAAAAGAATTCACTAGGCAAACATGGACCTTTCTGTGTGTTCACAAAGCACAGTTATGATGTAACCGTAAGAAAACACAGAATCCTGCAAACCATCAAACAAGCATATTCAGTAGTCTGGCATGTCTACCATTTGTTTCATTCAGAAAAGACGTTCTCCACTAAATTGTAGCTTATTGCTTTAAAATGAGCACTGAAAATGGCTTTTTCTGCACCAAAAAAAAGGGTAATGAAGCAGTTAGGAACCTGTGATTCATTCTAGCAACAAAGCTGTATGTATATATAGAGAGAGTCTCATGAACTGGAATTAAACACTACACAGCTTAGTTAACCAAGATATTCAGTCATAAGACTAAGTGACAGCAATGTATTTAAAGTATTTTTATTGGCAAAACCAATTATGCCTTCGCTAATTGTATTCTTTTCTGTATTTTGAAAATAGCACACACAAGATATAAACACAAATGGACATGGCTGGTTTGTTACGGCATTTCCTAATCCATTTAAATAAAAAAGACTGACTGATCAGTCATTAGAGATCTGTGCTAATAGTACAGAACCATTAAGAAAGCATTGCTAGGTATGTATAGTTGGAATAAAAGGTAATACAAAGGTACAAGAAGTTTCCATTTTTCTAAGTTTCTCTTCAGCACGGAAGAGAAGACTCCTGAGAGAGTCAGTTTAGAACAAGAAAAAAGATGAGCTGTTTCTAAGTCTTCCATTTGGAGGACATCAGCCAAGCTATGTACAGTTTTTCTCTGTCAGTGGGCAAGTCTGCACAGTTATGACTGACACCCAAAAGCGGTGACAGGCATGTGAGTTTCAGAAGAACCACTGTCCAGCATGCAGTGCTCTCCTCTTCCAGCACTGCTGACTCACCTGCTACTTCCCGATCATGCTTTCAATCTGTGATCTCTTGTAATTTTGGGTGGTAGAAAGTAATATTCATGGACATTTTTTTGCATAGATCTGAGAAAGTTTATGGAAGAACACCTCTGTACTCCCATAGGCTGGGTCTGATCTTGCCTCACTTCCCAGCAGTGAGAAGAAAAGAACCAGCAACTTTCGACTGGTGCTATAAGGGCTCCCAGAAAGCTAACTGAATGCCATAATGCCTCTTGCTTCTGTGGTTTGAGGCTTTACAATTCATAAAACCGGGCCCAGTAATTCATCATTATCAAAATTATGCATGCAGGAAACTGGGATGAAATTCTTCTCACATAACTGTATGTCTGCATCTAAAGGATGCAATGTGGGCTCCTGTCAGAATCAGCAGAGAGAAATGTGCGCTTTTAAGGTGTGATTCTTCTCAACTGGATCAGTATGAGATGAAATACACTCTAAGAGTGACCAGTGACACATCTTGAAGTCAATGTCAGAGTAGACATTCTGCTGTCAGACTAGGCCAGCAAAAAGTAGCCACTATGCTAGAAAGTAATGAGCCATATCTTTACAGCCTATGCTTTTGCAGAAAATTCTCTGAAACCAGTCACCACAGACACTTCTGGTAACAATAATATCAGAACAAAGTAAGGACACACACTTACCACTGAAAAACTCCTTCTCTAGCTGTTCATTCCATTCCTGTGTACTTTTCTCCATCATTTCATTTTGGTTTGCATCAAAAGAATGATCACTTGTTTCAGCTGAGATTGGGGAATTACACACTTCAGCCTGTTAAAAATTGTAAGGCAACATGATTTTAGTCCTACACGTGGGTTCAAATCACATTTCACGTGTCACATCACAAATCACGTCACAAGTCACAGAGGTTAGTAAGCTCTTTGTGGGTCCATTAAATACTGTATTATTAAAATATACAACTGAGGATTGTAAAGTTGCATGCATTTTAGAAACTTTTACATATGTAATAAGGAGATTTGCTCATCTTGTCCTCATACTGTAGCATGTTTTGCATACATGAGTTACAATGACCTTATAATAAGGGGCACAGTTTACTTATTTTCTCCATATCCATCGTTATTGCATTGTATCTCTCAATTTAGTTTTTCCTAATCACTTCTTCCTTGACCAGCACATTTTAAAATTCACACACTGACGTCCCAACAAAGATTTAATAATTTAACACTACAGTCAATTTTCATATTGCAAGACAGCACTTTAGGGGGCTGTGATAAATAACCTTAGCAGCGGGGAAAATGTCATCCTATTTCCCATCTGAGTTTAGTTTACATGTTAAGCTGGAGAGGTTCCTATCCCATCCATATTTCCCTCAGTTCACAGGCTCAGATGGTAGAAGTGCAGACAACTGCTGAACTGCTGATTCATTTTAGCTGAGACTCTTCCTCCTTTTTTTTAATAAAAACCCGTACTACTTTTTAGTTCTCAATATTCATAATATTTTACTCGTCTAGCTAGAATAGTCTATTTATGTAATAGGCAGGATTCTCTGATAAGATCTTTGTTCAGTCATATATTAATATAGATTATCCCTTTGTTTTTGAAATATGAGAGAAGGGAGGTGGCCAATTTACCTCCGCTATACCTTCGGTTATATACTGCATACCTTCTTAGTCCCCTCTGTGGTTATAGCACACAACCGAAGAGGAGGAAAGACATGTTAGTAATACAGGGCAATAAAGTAAGTAAAATAGCAAATATCATCCTTGGAGGAAGTCTGTTTATTTCAACAGCGTGCACTTAAATCACATCAGAAATAAATCTGTTGTTTCATGCTTAAATTGAGCTTGTGCTTATAAAATGGAACATTCAGCCAAAAAATTATTTCCTACTGTCAAAATTTACATTTACACAGTAATTCTGCACATGGAAATGTTGCAGGAGAGGCTATAGCTTACTGCCTGCCCAAGACAGCTACTCTTTTTCACCCTTGTACAAATGAAAAGAAACAAAGTAAATACACTCATCATTTATTCAGTGTGAGTTTTGACCTATTTGCAGGGTGGTCACAGTTGCCAAAATATGTGAGGGTTTTGGCCTAGGAAATTATCCATGTAATTATTCCATCAGTAAGAGAGAACTGAAACCTGGGCAGAGCTAGACTTAGGGCTCACCTAGTAAACCTTTGGACTTGTATAGTTTACAGGGGAAGCTCATTCTACGGCATTCAACAGGTTCACAACACAGATATTTTACTCAGTGTTTAAAACAAGAACTCCAAGAATACTACTTAAAAAGGTGTTATATCAACAGCCTAAACAAAGGGTACTAGTTTTTTATAAATCTGTGGTTTAAACATTGCTGATAATAAAGTTGACAAGCTACTTACTGTTGCCATTTCTTCCACTTTCGAAGATGGGCTAGCAGAACTGTCATATCTGTAGGCAGAAGGATTTAAACGTTGGCTTTGAAAAGGAACATGATGTAATTTTCCCAGATAGTAAATATCCAGCAGTTTCTCTTTAACAACTATTGAGAAGCATCTGCAAAAAGACTGCTCTATGAAGAATCCATCCTTCCCCCCACAAATATCCTGCTAACAAAAAAATGCTGGGGAAATGTACTATTCAGTTTGGCCTTGTCAGCTTACAAATGTTGTAGCTGCACAGCCAAGAATGAACTCAGCCTCCTGATACCTCAATGTCTGCAACAGCCATGAAGTAATTGTTTCAATCCAGCACTGCGATAAGATGGTATTACTTCCTCTTCCAAGCAACAATCATTTGGTAGGTACTACGAATAGCCAAAGTTAACCACTTGTAAATCTGTAAGTGGTTTGCATCTGCAATTCTGTTGTTTTTCTCTTTCATTTCGCCCTGCTCAGGCGCAGAGCTGTGGTCTGCCCCAACGAAGGAGGACAGACAGACAGCAGATGGCTTTCAGTCTGAACTTTGGAACTTGCTGCTACTCACCCAAAACAGCCTTTATTTACCAATTCTTAACACATGGTAGAAGGCTCATCTGATTTCCTAAGCTACATAAGACTGCAAGGGCTTGACGGAGAACTGGCTAGAGCGTCTGTGAGTAATGCAGTGGTTAGAACAAGCCGAGAAGCCCTGAACATAAAAGGTATTCTGTTCTACAGGGTGACTTGCAGACATACAAATACAAAATAAACCAAAGAAACAAGAACAGGACTTGAATTCAGTGAGTGTATTCGAGTCTGCAGATCCTTATTTTACAACTAAGCAAACCCAGTCCCTTCGAAAGCCCTGAAGGAAACGTCGCTCAGCTGGTGCCTATTGCCAGTTCTTCCTTCTCTCAGAAACTGCTTTTTCCCAGGAAGTTAATTCTTGAGAGAAAGTGAAGCAGGGAAAGATGGTTCTGCTCAGTCCTGTTTGTCTCAAAGTCTTTTTGAATGACCTTGTTCTTAGGCTCTTAAAACCTTCATGTGCTCAGGTAGACTACTTTATTGTGCTTCAACAGCAAGTATAAACCGGCTTGTTGGCAGGTTCTTTGTGGCCCAGCCTTTCCTCCTGAAGTGCTTTGTCATTTGTTTGCAATGTGCTTGGAGGCAGGGAAGAACAGTTGAAAGCTGCAATTTGTTTTTTTCTTCTGTAATTGTGAACTATAAAACCAGGATTCCTCTCTGACATGGGGTCCAACTGAAACCAAAGGAAACAAGCCTGTTGACCTCAGTGGGCTTAGGATCCAGCCAGACAATCTGAATCTGAAATTCCTAATTTTTCCTTGTAGCACTGATTATGAACAGCCATTAATTCAGTGGGTTACCGCTCCCGGTGAATGAAGTTTACAGGACCAGGACTCAGAGATATATGTAGCTCTTCCTTTAAACTAAAATAATGTTGAATATGTTTTAATGTTTCTACAACAAATTAAGAATGAAAATTATGTTTCAGAGTTCTTACAGTGATTTCCTGCAAACCAAGTTCCATGAAATCCTGTGGCTTAGCAAATTACCTTAATTATATGCATAATAAAAATGTAAAAGCTTTGTTAGAAGGTCTCTTCTTCAGCTTTACTGTGCAAAGATGCTCTACAGTTCTCCCCACTTGGTGCTGTGCTTGGTGTTGCGTTAATTGCTCCTTGCAATGAAGCTACACGAAGTAGACATGTTAGTTAGAAATGTCTTATGATAGTCTAGGCAAAAATTAAATTTTCATTTGCACCTCTGGCACCATTCTAAATCCCTCCATGTCTTTGTTGTCACTGTTCTTTCAGAAATAACTGATCGTTGCATCCTGCTTTATGTTCCTCCCTGCCAACTTACACAGACAAGGTTATTTTAATCTTTTCCCTGTGCCAATCCCTCCACTTCTCAAACTGCCTCATTATTTCTTCTGAACACTTTTATGTTTTTCAGCATTTCAAAATTAAAGTTTTGCTTACTTCTAGAGAAATATTGCTTAATTTTAGGAAAAAGTAATTCAGTTTCTTTTTTGGTTATGGATATTGAGCAATGTTTACATTATTTCACGCACACATGCACACATGCATACACACATACTTGTAAACATTATCTATTATTCATAAACAGAAAAGAAGTTAAATTACTGCTCAAATTCAGAAATATTTGCCATCAGAAAAATACTACTTACTATGGAAAACAAGAAGTTATATTTTATACTTATATACATATGTAACTTTTTTATGACAACCGAATGTAAGATTAAATGTAAAAGATGACTCTACTTACTACTATCAGTACTGGTAACAATAATATAAATCCGTGAATTAAAATCTGCTGCAAATTAGCATTTTCACTGAGGCACCTGTCTTCCCCAGGCCATCTCCGAGTTGTCTCATGTCAGACTGTAATCCGTTTTCTTCTATACTATTCTTATCAGTACTACATAAGAAGCCCGCTAAGCAACAGACACATAAATCAAATATGCTGAAAACACAATTAAACAGCATTTCTTTTCCAGTATGAATTACACTTTCATATTAGAAAAGAATAAAGATGAATTCAAGAACACCGAACACCTTTGAACCAAAAGCGATCAAACATTTCACTACCTTCAGACTACAGTTACAAACCTTTTATTAGCATCTTCTGTATCTCCACATAAGCATACTCTTTTTTGCAGCATCCATAATTTATTCTCACAGCAAAACACCACGGCAGCTGATGAAACTGTCTCTCCAGTACGGAAAGGACCCTCTAAACAGCCATTAATATTTAGCTATTTAAAAGCTTCTGCCAGTTAGGCTTACTTACAGGATTTACAGTGCTGCCTCCTATTGTATTTCACTAGCTCTCCAAAATAACTCTACCTGGTGAGAGGCAGATTATTTCAGTGCTTTGTCTATGCATAAAGCAAACCACATGCCACGGCAACACCTAGAAGAGGGTGGGGGAAGTTTTCGACAGAGAGGCGTGACTAGAAATTGTAGCAATCAGCTCAGTTACACGTCAGGATTGACTTGTTTATTTTTCAAGCTGTACTTAGTAAGAAATCAAAGGCATCTGAGCCTGAGATACAATAGATTTTCTGTGGACAAGCCAGATAAACAGATATTAGAAAAGCTGATGCAATGAGTAGGCATGGTTTATTTTTTTGCCTTCTTAAATTAAGAAATCATTTCAATGCTTAGATTCTACAGCAAAGCACTGCCAATCTGATTCTCCATTACACACGTGCCCCTTTACTCTGCGGTCCAGTGTTGGTGTGTCCCAGCATAAGGGGCATCACCACGTCACAGGAAAAAGGAGGGAGCAGATGACATGTATGGAGCAGCGTTATAACTTTGCGAATTTTTTTTTCTGTGCTGCATTGCTATGTAGGGGAATTGTTACCAGTAAACATCCACAAAGCTAACCTCACAGCCTCTATTCAAACCTCTCCTTAAATCTCCTTCTGCTTTGATACAAACACTCCACAAAGGCAAGCTGCTGTGCTACAAAACCTACATATCAGACTAATCATAATTTCTTTAGAGGCTTGCATTCCCTGTCATTGTTTATTATAGCTGTTCCTTGTCTTAGCGTCATGCCACCTAGGAGCCCCAGGCATGGACCAGAATACCAGCCTCAGACTCACAAACACAGTGAAAATCAGCTCTGTGTGCCAAAGATCTTCCAGCTTCATAGTTGGATTTCACTGGACAACGCACCTTTACCAATGATTGCCAGTCCCAAGCATTACCCTAAGATGCACTCAAAAATAATAATATTTCACTCAGGTGTTGCTGACGTACGGGACCATACAGGACAAAAGTTAGGAGAGAACAGTCAGCCTGACCAGCCTGAGGCAGCCCCCTGCCCTGCCTTCCCTGTGAACAGCAGCTTTAACCCTGTGGCTGGCAAGGGAGAAGGATGGTCTTCAAACAGCAGCTCCAGCACGGCAGATGAGACCATCTTTGGTTCAGATCCAGTTGAAACCAAAGCCCTGATGAAGCACAGAAGACAAAAGCACTGGAGAGCCACCCTGTTTGCCCAGCTAGAGCTAAAGCTGCAGGCATGCCTCAAAGCTGCCTCTGGGCTAGAAATGGTGGGAACTGATGCAGCAGAGGTGCCTGGGGCTGGTACTCTCTGCCATGGCCTGAGAAAGCTATGCTTTCCTGTTATATCACAGCCATAGGGTGCCAGACCCCCATGCGCCTTACACCTTGTCCTCTTGAGAGGGAATTCAATAGGATGCAGCCGCTGCTAAGTCTGGGGGCTTTCATACACTTAAAGCCCTTATGCAAACCCTGAGCAAAACAGATTTAGCCAAGAGACTTTACCTATTACTTGCCACCTAGTCCTCATTCTCCTGACACAGAACAGATAATCTCTCATTACACGACCAAGTAAAATCCCAGTCTTCCCAGTGAGGTGAAAGGCCAGAGACTGGAAAAATAATTTTAACAAAGTTTTCTAAGCAAAACACAGAACAATTCATAGACTTTTTTAAAGCTGGAAATAATGTATGTTCTGATTATAGCTCACCGTGGTTGCTTCTGAGTCTGGTTTTTCCTTGATTTTCTAAAGGAGAAAAGCCAAGCAAAAGGTGATCTGAACCCCAGAAAGGAAGCTGAAGTGTTCTTTTGAGCTTGAGGATTTGCGCAGGATGACATTTTTAATTCTTTATGATCTAGAAACATTATCAGAAATTGATTTATTTCAAGTTCTTACTAAATACAGTATTAAAATATACATTAAAAGTTACGTCTTCATATACAATTTTCTTTTGCTTACCTTTTATGCCAGAAAAATCCAGTTTTATTGACATTTTTGGACAGACTATGTGACATGCTGGTTTATAATGACTAACTAGAAGACTAAGAGAAAGAAAAACAGGTCTAAAGTTTCAAAAAGCATTATTGTTTTTGGGTGATGCACATAAGATAAATGAGGCTGATTTTCAGAAAGTAATCAGCACTCAAACATTTGAAAAACAGGACCGTTTTAAAATACAGGCAAATTAGACATTTGAAAATTGAGGCAGCCACAATCATTAGTCACTTTCTTTTCACCTTTGTAAGAAATATGACAACCCTAACTATACAATGGTTTAATAGACTGTAATGTAACTACATAACAGTAACTCAGACTAAGGTGTCTTCTGTACCTTACAGTTCTTTATGATGGGATTCCCACGGCCACTGGAGTACATTTTTTCTGCTACAAACTGCATATCAGAACTGTATTTTAAATGCAAGATATCATGAATGATTTCTTTGGGAAGGTTATGATTTGATTTCTTCAAACGGAACATAAACCCAGTCTGCCTGTAAAAGCAGCTGGCAACTGGTGTGAAGGAGAGGATTAGGGCAATCTGCTCACAGATTAGTTAGAAACTGCAGGGTCTGCTATTAAAACATGCCACAGGAAACCGGAGGACATAAGGAAACATGACTTCACTCAGGAATAAGGCACTGCATCTTTTTTTTTTTTCCATTTAAAACATCACATGCCTGAAACAGTACCACAGCCTGAAAATGGCTCATCCAATGACTGTAGGAGAAAGCAAAACCAGAAATGGGAGCAAAGTGTCACTGATAACAACAGCAAGGGGCAGCACGTCCAAAATGAAGTGAATAATTTATGTCATGTGATGTAAATCCTGCGTATAATACATGGCTTTCACTTCAGTGACAATCACTGTGTTATTACAAAATGCTGCATCCTTTACCCCTTTCAGAGCCTAACCTGGCATTGTTTGACTTGACAACGAAGGTGACATCAGGAGAGTCCTAACAGCACTCTGCCATCGCCAGGATGGTCTAGGGATGTAGACAGAGCAAGACTTGTGGGTAGGAGTAGTACCTTTTATTAAACCAACTCATACAGTTGGAAATATCAGACAAGCCTCTGAGGCACACAACCCCCTCTTCAGATCTGAAATAGAAACAGCAGCTTTCAAAGTTAAATACCAGAGAACAATTACACAGAGTTTAGTTAGCTAACACATCAATTAGACCATCTCTGAAAGAGAAAAATAGTAGATAGCTGTAGACTAGAGGGTATGTTGCGTTCAGGAAAGACAGAGATCTGTTCTGTGTGGGTCTGTAGTTTCAGGAAAATTTCTAGAGTTTCACTTTTCTTTTGAAATACATGACTCTGCTTCCAGTTGCTATGAAGCACAAATAGGAGCTCAATGAAAAACATGCAGAAATGTGAATGGAATAAAAGCATACATTATGCATGAAAACTATCTGGATGGAAGATGAAAAAGCACAGAATGCCCTGCGTGCTATAGAGACACCATTTTCTTGTGTGCCTTCATTTTGGATGGGCAACAGAACCTGTGAAATGAGATCTGCAGAAGTTGCTTCCTGGTCAGCCCAGCTTTCCAGGCTTTGTCACCTGCCCTGATAATCAGCACTGGCATGCCTTTAGCCCAGACCAGGAAAAGTTTTACACTGATACAGTCAAACCTCTTTCACCTAAACTCAGATTACCTACTTATTCCAAATGTCATTTAGGTCCTTCTGGTTTCTTTAAGAAAACTAGGTAAAACTGAAAGAGTTTTTGTACAAAGTATATATTACTGCTTTTATTGGGAAAGCACCACTATATTTACTATAATTACAGCCATTTCATCTTGATTAAGAAAGACATTTTTTACAGTGAGGACAATCAATCACTGGAACAACCTTCCTGGGGATGTAGTGGAGTCCCCGTCACTGGAGGTTTACAAGACGTGACTGGACAGGGTGCTAGATAATCTCATCCAGGCTCCCTTTGCCACGAAAGGTTGGACCAGATGATCTCCGATGTCCTTCCAACCTGGGCTGTTCTATGATTCTTACTATGGGATGAGAATACCAGGGATTTTCTGCTGTGACTCCCAGCTGTGCTTTTAACAGAGTCTGCTTAAAGAAACATAGGCATTTTGAAAATACATCTTTGGTAAAACTTTGACATGAGAAGAAACTCAATGCCATTTCAGAAACTCCTTAGCTATTTACACTCTGAAATGCTCTAAGACATTGGGTTGGTGACCATTATCACATAGATAAGGAAATGGAATAATGAAACTCACTGGTGTTCTTGCTCTTCCTTAGCTGATGCTCTAATGGTGGTTTTAGCATTCTATTGACATCAATGTAATTCTGAAATTTTTTTCTTTGTATTTCTTCAAACCATTCTCCAGTCACTCCCTGCAGCCCTGTTTCAGACTTCTTACTCTTCAGAAGTTTGCTAGAAAGGAAAAAGAAAACCCAAACAATTTATTTTTAAGCTATTTTAGATATTACAGGCACATCATTAGGAACTCTCTCTGTTGTTCATTTAAGTATTTACAGTATATTTCTACATATAATGACTTTTTTAAAGATACAGTGGGACATGATACATTCACAGCAATCACATAAGTTTTAGTGACAGCAGAATTCTCCAGCTTAACAATGAGACTAAGTGGACAACACATATGCTTGCATTATTCTCTGCCTGGAAGAAGTGCATCCTTCTTCCTTGCAAAAATGAGGTAATAATTCATAAGCATTATAAAACTAATTGAAAGTAAGATTAGATTCAGCCAATAATCGAATTACAATAAATAATACTCTAACAAAGCAATTTTTGAAATATGTATTCACTCATTTAAGCAGAAGCAATAACAAGATTATTCTGATTTTCAAGAGGAAGCTCTCTGAGGCCCTGACAGTGAGGTGCCCACCACACACTGTCTATGTCAAGGAGAATAATAAATTGTGAATTCAGCTAATAGGTATTCATGCAACATGTTCAACGAGTCTATCACATTTTCCTCTTTCCTTGCTGCATAGTGATTCTGCCTGTGTTTAATATGTATGGAAGCAACTAATAATGAATATGAATGTTTTGCCACGCAGAGGCGAAGCCTGAACGAGATACACACATGTGGCTGCAACTGAAGAAGCTGTTTCGTAGCAAGTTCAGGTTCTAGACCAAGAGGTCACAGGAATGAATTGTTTATCTGGACATAAAAGAACAAGGTACAGTTGCAAAGGAGTCGCAATAGTGCAACGGACATGCAAAGTTATTTGTTTTCAAATTACATTACACAAGTGCTTAAAGTACGGATGCAAACGCAGCAAATCCACGCTCCAGCTGACTCTCATGGCAACAGAACAAGACTTCATGCACAGCCTGGAGATGTAATACCACTGTTTTAGCAAGGCTTTCATGTAAATCTTCCACCTTAATCAGTGGTAAAACCCATGTCTAGGAATACAGATGCTCTCAGAGAACATAAATTATTTCGGTTGTCAATTTAAATAAAAATGCTCATTCTCTGAGACAACTTTACTTCACAAAGCAAACTTGAAGTTAAATATCTAGTCTGGACACGGACGGATTTCCATCTGGAATTGACAGAGGGTATATTGTCCATACTAGCACCTACTGTTCATCTGGCGGCGTCTGAAGAATAGGAGGGCAGGAGAGAGGCATTTTTGGTTAATGAGTGAGTATTTCCCTCGAAGCAGATTACACAGACACATGCACAAGCACTAGCCATTTGAAACAAACTTATTACAAAGGCAAAAATGTTAATCATCACAGATATTACTGCACCATGGGAGTGACTAAACACCGTAAACGCCATCTGCAGCATGGAAAACAGCCTAGCAGTAATGTGAAACAGGAGGAGGCGATGAACAAAGTGCTCTCAAGCGCCAACTTCATGACCTCACTCCCGTGGCCTTAGCAAAGGGGATCCAAGATACCGGGAGGAGTAAAGGCGCACGGGGCCAGGCATGAGGTGTTTTGGGAGCGGCTGCGGTCACAGCGATCGCCCGGAAAGCAAGCCCGCCGCAGTGCTGCTGAGGCCCCGAAGCCGGACGCGGGCGCCGGCCGGGCCGCGCTGCTTGCCCCAGCTCCTCAGCCCACGCCCCCGCCGCCGGGAAGCTGGCGTTACGTATATATACATCGGTATCAATTTGCTTTACATTTATGCGTTCCAGAGAGAAGAAAACATACAAAACCTCACACTTACGCTAACATCGACTGTATCGGGCATTGCACGAACGTGCCTTTCACCAAAAAAGGTATTAGAAATCTTGCACAAACACTGACATTAATATTTAAACACTAAAGCCTCTTCTGGTACACGCTTGGCATTATCTGCAGTCATTATCTGTGAATGTGCTGCTTTTGAGTTGTGCTGTCATCCCCAACTCATGAAATAAACCCTTTAAATTGCTTGTGCGTATTTATATTTACACACACACACGCAGGCCCATATATTGAACCCTACATATATAGTTACGTGGGTACCAAATAATACTGGTATGAGACATAATATGTAATTGCAGTATCAGATGACTATTAAATATTTCTCATTTGCGATGACTCCCAGCCAAACCA